CCACTTGATAAATTATTTTCATTTCTATATACTCATTTCTACACTAGACATGCCCTAACTTTCTCACACGTTCATTCGCTCAGTGACTTGATCGCACCGCTAATCACCTCATCATTCCATAACTCCACTCGCAAAAGCACGCTCTTACTCAAATTCAATTTCCGCTCACTTCCGCACCCAGTCACAAACCTACTCACTCGCGCGTCAAACCAATAGGCCATTCCCGAGTTATCTTGTTCCTCTGTTTCAAAACGAGCTTTCGTGTAAAACCATTGTTATGAAAATGAGTGATTTGCATGAAAATGAAACTGTAGGGGGGAACACATTTTCATATGAATGTGTTAGCACGAAGATTCGTTTTGACACAGAGGCAAAAGGCAACTCGGAAGTGCCTATTACTAAGTCACTCCGTCATTGAATAGTAGTAGTCATTCTCAGTATAATAACTCACGAAGTTATGCAGCAGGGGTTCATGATTTATTGATAAGTTGATTAATTCACTTAGTTTTCTGCTGCATTGGTTTATCTTTTTTTTTTCTTTTGTTCGTTTTAAAATCGTTCATTTGAAATAGAGACTCATTGTTAGGGCAATTTGCAATGTACGTTATCAGTTCCCTTTCTTTTATAAGGATGTTGTCTTTGCAAAGCACTATAAAGACTCTCCAACAGTTTTGGTTTCTGCAAATCATTCAACAAACGGAGGAAACCTTAATCCAGCGTACAACTCCATATCAGTCTGGGCGGAGGTATGATATTATTTATTTTCATAATATCTAGTGACGATGCATTTGTAAGAAATTGTAAATTATCTCCGTTTTATAATCACATTGTATGAGCGCAGTTTCATGTTAGATTGAGGAAAATTTTAAGGAAATTTACTGAAGGGTGGCGCTGATAAAATTTTCGTTGTTGTTTTACTATTATTATTATTATTATTATTATTATTATTATTATTGTTATTATTTCCTCTATTCCAAGACTAAACACAATCTATCAGTATCAAACGAAGTATTAAGTGAATGAATAGTAAATCACTTGTCTTGGTGTGATGGGTTCAGTACCGCTGGTCATTACGTGATGTTGTGGCTGTAAGACTTGCGTATTGAAGATTTCTTCTTTCCTTGCAGTATATAAACAAGACTGGATTTAGAGCATGTGTGAAGGAATTGTTTGTGAACCAGCATGATCCTCTGTCAATCTCATATGCAATCATGCCAGGTAGAATGAAAAGGAACAATAACGCTAGAAATAAAATATTGTTTATCAACTTTTGTCCCTTCAAGCTTGGTTTACAGGTAACAAGAAAACCGTAGCGCAAGACAAACTATTGTAATTGAACGGGGACGACGCAAGGATAAGCACATGAACAAAAAAAGAGAAGCAGAAAATAGGAAATCCTTCCTTTATCTTGCGCTTTCTATTATTTGGGTATTTGTGTAAACCAGAACTTCACTACTGCTTATATAAGTTGGATGAAGTCTGAGTTTGCATATTTACTGCTGAGAAAAGAGACAACTTTGAAGTTACTTTCTCAGGTAATAACAGAAAACTCTATAAATATTTTACCTTTGAAATTAAGTTTTATTTTCTGTGTTGTTTTGTTTTGTTTTGTTTTGTTTTCTACAAAGATGTTTGTGAACCGGGCTGGAGTTTCTACAATGGTTCATGTTACTTTACCAGTGAAACTTGTGAGACATGGTCCAACGCCAGTACGATCTGCAGGAACATGGGGGCTAATCTTCTCGCTATTGAAACTCAAGACGAAAATGTTTATATACAGCACAGACACAATGGCGACAAGGCGTGGATTGGTTTGAATGACATTGCCACAGAAGGATTATTCTCCTGGGTAGATGGGTGTCCTGATAAATTCCGCTACTGGGCCGAGAAACAACCGAACGACTTTAGCGGGGAGGACTGCGTACACACTCTTGGTGCTAGACATGGATACACGTGGAATGACATAGATTGTTCTACATGTCATCAATATACGTGCAAAAAAGGTGAACAACAGTTTTCTTTATCATACGTTTATCATGTCGCTATTAAAAAGGACCACTTAACTACCGCCAGTCCAGATTTGACGCTTACGAGGGATACAAGGGATATTACCGTTTTTTCCCAAACTTCTAAACGGCAGAGCAGTTAAGAGGCTAAGGATATAATGCTAATAAAGAAGCTCGAGCTTCTTTAACATCACTAGATTTCATTGAACCTTCTTGTCAGGGAAATATTGGTCAAGTTCCTTTTATGACGCATGTTATTAACAAAGCAGCGCATGAGCACTGCGTTGGCCGGGCTTGGTTTGATGAGAACGGAGAAGTGGGTAAAAAGGATGACACCTGGATTGGCAAACTTTTGGCTATATCAATAAAGTGTACAGCATTTATTTGCCAATCACTCATCCCTAACGAAGAGCTAACACTTTAAACGACCTCGTTCTCAGCAAAGGTGAGGTTAAAAACCGCTGGCGAGCCCCAGAATAAGACTATGAAATTCTAGCACGATGCTTTCTTCAATCGACGTGAAGGGAGAGAAAGCGCATCGAAGAATGTGACGTCATAACCGTGTGTAGTACCGGAAGCCCCTCAGGCGGAAGTGAGAATGGAGTCATAACAAGCATCATAAAACCATTTATTTTACCGGGTAAAATAAATCTCCTTTTTGCAGGTTAGGTATAAGTTTGGTCCGAAATGCAGAGCATTTAACCGAGAAATATACACTCCAAAAGGTCTGAACAAGCGAGATTCAAAACTCTGCTGATCGATCACAATCCTCCAATTAAAAGCAGAATTCTGATTGGTTCTCCCCATTTTGTTTTATTTGACTTTGGTGTTTGATATTGTTTATTACCTCTACGCTAATCAACTCTAACCTTTGTCTTATTCACAGATTATGATGAATGTACCAGTTCTCCGTGTTTTAACGGAGGTACTTGCAAAAATGGTAAAAGGACGTTTAGCTGCACATGTCCTCCAACCCACAAAGGACGTTCATGTGAAGGTAAGCTTCTCTTTTGTTGCATGAGCAGATGTTGTTTCCGTCTGTCCAATATCAACCAATTGGCGTGGGTTTCAGAAATGTTCCTGGTTCCATTTTCCCCCAATATTTGCAAGAAAAAAGATAAGGCAGAAGATTCAGAGGTTTTCAACAGTTTGTGTAGTTCAGAGTTTGTCAAGTTTGAGAAAGAAGAACAAAATAAAAAGTGCTTATGCTGCCTTCATCAACCTGCTTCCGTGTCTCTTGTTCCTTTGCCATACAGTTTCTCATTTCTCGTGATTATAGTTTCAAAATAGGCAGCGACACTTTTTAACGAGTATTGTGCTGCAAGTTTTACATGCAGTACACTAGATGCCACAAATAACCTAGAAGAGGTAAAAACATTCAAGAATCTTCGATGCTCAGCTGGTGGACTTTTCTCTTGTAAAATGTGTTTGATAATGATTTTTTTTCTTCCGCAGAATTTGACGAATGCTCCAGCAGCCCTTGCCTAAATGGCGGTACTTGCACTGATGGAGTGAATAACTTCACGTGTTCTTGCCCCTCACCTTTTTTTGGAGACAGGTGTCAAGGTCATGCGCTATCTTTGTTACACGGGAGACCCCCTTTAATTTATTCTTGTTTCAAGTTCAGTCCTTGTGTGATTAATAACGATATTTTCGCTTGCATTTAGAAACGGACGAATGCCAGTCCAATCCCTGTCAAAATGGT